CTATGCTGGAGTACTTTTAATGTTTTTTCATTACATTGTTTTTATTTTCATTTGTATTTTCTTCTCTAAGTTTTCATATAGCTGTATTCAACATAACAGATTTTAGACTGGGTATATTGGCACATAACTGTAATCCCTGTACCCAGGAGGCTGAGGTAGGAAAAGAGTGAGTTTGAGATCAGTATGTGCTACATAGTGAGGCCTTGTTTAAAAGCCAAAACAAAAGGAGTGATGTCTCAGTGATTAAGAGCACTTTCTGCTCTCCCAGAGGACCCAAGTGCCATTCCCAGCACCTACATCAGGTAGCTCACAATCACCTGTAATTCCAGGTCCTGGGGATTCTACACCCTCTTCTGGCCTCTGTCGACATCCATATACATGTGGCATAGATTCACAGACACACACACACAAATAAATTATAAAATTTTTAAGAAACACAAACTAACAAAAGCTCAAAAAAATGACAAACTTATTTTCTATTTCTCCATGAAATAATTTTTCTACATTGATACTAGTAACTTTCAAAAATAGTTCAAACACAGAATTTTAAATTATTCATTAGATAGGAAATATTTGTTGTCTTAATTTGTTTATACATTAGATCTGCTCAGGTATTTAAAAGATCAGTAAGTAGACTTGATAATGGTGATCTTAAAAGTTTGTATCTGCTTCTGAGATAGGAAATATACAGAAGTATTTTAGAAGATATTAGGTTGTAGGAATACAAGATATATATTTTTTACCTCTGCTGAGAGGCTCTTTAAAATCTGACAATCATTTCATTATCAGATATTGTTATAAAAAATTAATCATGAAAGATACATGGATACAGCATAGGCTCCTCTGTCATTGCCTATCTTTTAATTTCGAGATACTTGATAGAATAGGGAGCAAAGTATGAAAAGTTGTTTTTGTGTTAAAACATTCTAGCCAGGATTTTTTAAATATTCTGTAATATTTTTTTTTTTGAAAAAAAATTTTATGGGGCTTTTTGCTATTCTTAACATTCCACCTCTGAAGCGGTAATCATAAAATCTTTTAGGGATTAGATAAGAGCTCTGAAATACTTTTGACATTTTTGGCCTTTGGAACAGAATGTGTTGCTAAAGAGGCCCAAGGACATTTTGATTTTTAGCCAAGAAACTGGCTACTTTTCTTTGGGGTCTTTTACCCTAACTGCCTACCTCCTATTCTCATCACACCATCCCCTGAAGAGGTTACCTAAATTGCTGATAGGGAATCGGGACTCAGACTGCTCCGGCTTCTTCCATGCTGCACAGGGATGCAGGGTGAGGCAATTGAGGTACCACTTCAATGCGTCTATCTAAAAGACTCCCAAATTGCATAACTCTTAACTGTAGGGAGAAAAGAATGTCCTTGACTGCTGCCTAGGAAATGTGAAGGAGAAGTAAAAGCAAAGAGTAGTTAGCATTACAAGTTCTAGCATTACAAGGGAACCAGAAAAAAGTCAGAACAGGGCAAACTTCAAATGTTCCTATCAGAGTCCATTGGGATTTCTTGACAAGAGCTTCCAAAAGCATTCCTCTGTTGGGTTCCTCCTCATTTTTCTTTTGTCTGCCAAACCTGGACTCGAGAGAGATGGACTCAGGATTTGTTTTCAGGCACTTTGATAGCTGTTGGAGTGGTTAGAATCAGTGTCAGTTCCCTCTCAAAGGCTTCTAGATAGGGGAGAAAACAAATTTAGCCATCATTTTAGAAGAATATTGGGTTGTATCCCTTAGCTACAGGTGGGCACTGCAGTATTACAGACCAAGATTTGAAGTCGTACATCTGAGCAGCACTTTGTAATTAGAAACAAAATCATCATTTAGAAATAATTGTCTAAACATTTTATATGGACTTAAGTCTAATGTCTGGGAAGTGTAATCCCTTGAACTCTTTAATATGCTGATCACTTTAATCTTTGGTTATACTTTTCTCCAGGGTGTTTAAGACCATACAGTTGGCCCAAATAAACCAATTTAATTTTAAGGTTGTTTGAGAGGTCACATGGGCTTGGGAGGAGCCCCTAGCTCCTTTCTTTTACCCGTTCCCTCTATGTGAAGATCAGTTAAAGTCCTGTTTTACTGGCTGGCTTCACTTGGAAGCATGGAGGAAATGTTTCCTCTGTGTTGATCCTCCTCTTTGTAGACTGGACACTGGTTCAAGTCCATCTGGAGGGGTCTCCATGGCCTCCCTGAACAAGAGGACAGGTGACTCACCACAGTTACAGGACATTTTGAGAGATGTTCCATAGTCCCCTGGAACTTAGTTGGCCTTGGAGGGCAAAGAACAAAAACTGTCCTTTAAGTCCCTCTGACCAGATTAGTATAGGCCTCAAAGTATGGCTGTTAAACATCCAATAAGGTTATTTCCACCAGTCTGGTACTTTAATTAACCTGTGCTATGTAGATAAAGCTTGGGCAAAAACCAAATGTTCGCAGGTAAACCTTGATTAGACATATATTTTGTTCCTTAAACTATTTGACTAAACTATGACCTTAGAAATTTTAAGAGTATGCTTATATCATTTTTGTCTCATCCTTTATATATCATAACAGACCTACGCAGACCATCATCACTTGCTTAGGCTTTCTTGTTTTTTCTATTTTGGGTAATATCTCCATTTCCATATCCTTTCAACATCATTTTCCTTTTTAATAATTATGAATCATAATAATGTTAACAAATCAATTTTCCATCTGTTGTGAGAATTCGTTCCCTGGGGATACTAAGCAATGTTTATCCCCTTCTAACATTCTAGTGTCAAACCAATGTTTGATTCAAGTTTTACTAGGGAACCAATGAATTTACTGAGCTTACTTACAGAGATGATTGAGGGGTTGCTGAGGTATATGAGTGACTTGAGGGTATGCACACTGGAAAGCCTTTACCCAGCATGGATCAAGAATTCTCTTCCTAGCCTTCCCCAGATTATATACTTTAGCCCTCCCCAAATCCAGGAAACCATGTGTGATTAGGGCCAAATTACATACAGGTAGCTGGGAAGAGTGGCTGGATACTCTGGTGAGGGTCCAATGACCCTGCTTGCCCATCCTTTAATGAAGGAGCACAACCATCAACAAGCCCAATTATGATGATGTTTAGCAAGCATGCACAGCCGAAGTTGTGATGCTGGTAGTTATTTCATGCGGAAGAGACTACTGTACAGCATCAGCTTATTAAAAGAACATGGAATTTAAAAGGATTTGGTGCTAGGATCCACAAATGTGGGAGAACATACGTCTTTTGTTTTTCTAATTCATCCTAATATGTTTTTCAGAATTGTGGGAAAAGTCATGTATGTGATGACCGATATGCCTGCACACCTACAAACCAATAAACACAGAGATTTAATGTGACTTCCAGTGTTACGTATTCCCTGCCACATGAACCTATCCTGCTGTTTTATATCTGAGACTCAATTTTTATTTTGCAAAATGAAAATGATTTCAGAGTAGTAAAGAACAAAAGAGATAAATGTAAACTATAAGTATAAAATTATGGAGCTGGAGAGTTGGCTCAGCAGTTAGGTGGCAGCTAACAACTGTCCGTAACTCCAGTCCCAGGGGATCCAACAGCCTCTTCTGTCTTCCTTGGGCTCTGCACGACACAGGTGCACTGCAGGCAATACACTCATACACATAAAAATAATAAATAAAATATAAAAAAATATAAGAAAAATTATGGCATGATATAGACCTTTCATCATTGAATTTCATCAATGATAACATGAATTGATGCAGAATCATCTGACCACACGCACATTCCAAAGATATGCTTGATTAAATTTCACAAGTTAAAAAGAAGACAAGTGCTGGGTGTGGTGGCATGTGCCTTTAATCCCAGCACTCAGGTGGCAGAGGCAGGTGGATCTCTGTGAGTTCAAGGCCAGCCTGGTCTACATAGTGAGTTCCAGGACAGGAACAGGAGCTAAAAAAAAAAAAAAAAAAAAAAAAAAAAAAAAAACAAACCAAAAAACCAGACAAGTGAGCAAACACATTGCTGATAGTGAATGTCAGAAAAGGAAGCCCTCTGAAGTCTTGCGTGGAATGGGATCTGAATCCAAAGTGAATAATGTGAACTAAAGCTTAGCTGTAAATAATGTGAACTAAAGCTTAGCTGTAGATTCAGTTAGAATATTGGAACTCAGGTTGGGAGATGGTTCAGTGCTTAGGAATGTTTATTGCCCTTCCAGAGGACCCCAGTTTGGTTCCCAGAACCCATGTTGGGTGGCTCACAACCACCTGTAACTCTAGCTCTAGGGAATCTGACATCCTCTTCTGGTCTATATAAGTATTTTTGTGTGCACATGTGCACACACATGTAAATAAAAAGATATATTTTTTAAAAAGATTAGAAGTAGGGAATGGAGAGGTGGTTCAGTAGTTAAGAACACTGGCTGCTCTTGCAAAGGACCTGGATTAGAGTCTCAGTACCAGAAGCCAGGCCTGGAGCACAATATGTGACATAGAGCAGAAAGTCAGTTTGAGTTCCTTTCCCATTTCTTTCCTACCCTCCCTTCATCCCCATTTTCCATTGCTGGTTCATGAGGAGAGAAGGATGAACATTACTCTTACTTACTTTGACTCTGGCCATGAGTCAGAAATAGACTAGGAGTCATTGAGACAGGGGAGAAAGATGCTGTGAGATGCTGACCTTATTTGTGATTCTAGGAACTGACTCTCCTGCCCATGTTCTAAGAGCAGATATACAAAACAGCAATTTCCGTGATAACTTACAACACATGCATTGCATCAGGGACCCAAGAAAGAATTCTAGGATTGTGTGATTTTTCAGATAAGATTTGATCCTGGCTTAATGCATTTCTCAAAAATGTTTAGTTCAGTTAAAAGACATAATTTGATTTAGAATATGTGTTACAGGAATTGATTTTTTGTTCAAATTTGTGTTACATGTGATAAATTGGTAGTAGGTAAAACTTATTTTCTCATACTTAGGACCTTTTCTTTCAACACTTGTTATTAATCTTCCCATAGTTTCTGAATCAGAGATTTCCCAAGAAGCTGATGACATTGCCATGGAGAAAGAAAAATATGTTGATGAACTGAGAAAAGCCTTGGTGTCAGGAGCAGGAGCCGCAGACATGTACAAGTTTATCTTTTCTAAAGAGTCCGGTCATTTCTCCTTTGACAAAGAACTGAAAGATGTTTCAGTAAGTAAAAGTTTTCAAAACTGTGTAAGTGGCAAAACGTTACCTCTTATTGATGCATTTTTTTACTATTTAATTAATTAGGGTATTATTCCTGGAGCACCCCAGAAATGAATACCAAGTACTTTCCAAATACTTGGTATGTAAGGTAGAGTGTTTATAAAATGTGTTTAGATAGATAGATAGATAGATAGATAGATAGATAGATAGATAGATGATGTGTATATGAGTGTGTGTGTCATAGCAGACATGGAAGTCAGAGGACAACTTTTGGGAGTTGGTTCTTCCACCATTGGCTCTGGGGTTCAGTCTCAGGCCTTTGCACTTGTGTGGTAAGCACTTTAACCCACTGATCCATCCTACCAGCCCAGAATGCTTCAGATTTATTCATTGAAAGTAATGAATTGTGAAAAGCAAATGATTGGAAAATGTATTTACTATGCAGTGGTTAAAATTTTTATTTTATTTTTTTGAGATTTTCATACGAATACTGTGTTCACGTCATTTTCACCTCTCCTTATTCCTCCTCAACTCTTCCTACTCCCCCCCCATGACTCCCTATTAATTTTGTGTCCTCTTCTTTGATTATAATTGTTACATATATAAACATTTCATATATATAAAATCTACCTAGTCCATTTAATGCTGCTTGTGTATACATATGTTTAGAACTGACCTCTTGGGATCGAATAACCTGTCAGGGAGCTTGTCTCTGGAGAAAGTTTATTGTCTGTCACTCAGCAACCATTGATTGCCTGTCACTTCATTTATAGGTGGGGCCTTGGGCAATTTCCCCCATCCACTTTGGCATGTCAGCTGGTGTCATTATACAAGTCTTGTTTAGGCAAGCATATTGTTGAGATTTCATCAGTGCAGTTTCCCATGTCATGCTAGATAGAATACACTAGCTAGTGAAGGCATCTGTCCTAGTCCTCTGACTTTTACATTCTTTCCACCTTCTCTTCTGCCATGTTCCCTGAGCCTTAAGTGTTGGGCTTGCATTGTAGATGTGTTAATTGGAGCTAGGCATCACATGGTCACTTATTTTCAGTGGTGGATGTCTGAAGTAGTCTCCAACTGTTGCAAATAGAGATACACTTACCAGGCTTGTCTAAAGCACCAATTCTTTAAAATTTTTAAGCATTATAGTTAATTACATGAATGAACAATTTTGAAACTGTGACATCTGAGTTTTAGACTATTGAGACCAAGTTATATCCAGTCAGTGTGAGAAAATATTGACTTTTAGAAAGAAAACAATAGGCTGCAAAGATGGCTCATGCTCTTGTAAAGGACATGGGTTCAAATCCCGGCACCACGTGGCAGCTAACAACCTTCTATAATTCCAGTTCTAGGGAATTCTGTGCCCTCTTCTGGCTTCCATGGGCACTGCATGACATGGGTGCCCTTACATACATGCAGGCAGAACACTCATACACATAAAATAAAAATGTATAAAAAAACATTTTTTAAAAGCTTGAAAATTAAAAAGAAAAAGAAAGAAAACAATAAATTTACCTTTAAGTATTTAATAATTTACTTATTTTCTTCTTTATTAAAGCATACTTGAAATTTAAAAATAGCATAGATAAGTATGTAATTGAAGATGAAGAGCACATTATTTATATTGTCAGACTTAAAAATAAAGTAGAACTAACTTTGAGTTTTCCAATGCTTGAATGTTTTCAGAGAAGATACCCACTGCTTTGCTAAGCTCTCCTCTAATTCAGATGAAGGTGCTGGCTTCTTTACCAAAGGTCTGCACTTAATTGTCTTTATATTTTAATCAAGTAATTAGAGTTTAAACTTGTTTTAGCCATTGGTTTATAAGTCATGAGATTTACAGCATAAGAAATGGGGAGAAATCTTTACTTTATTAGGTTTTTAGGCAGTACAGAATTTGTTTTAGAGGTAATTTATTAGTTTTAAAATTCCTTTCTAGCAATCCTCTAAATTAAAATGGTTAAGATTTCACCTATTTGAGAAATATTAAAAGACACAAAATCATTATTTCAAATATCTATCATTGTATGGAATAAGATACAGGCCTGGCTTCAGAAATTTCTGTTTAGAAAATGTATGCTTGAATTAGGCATTAATGTATATTTTTTCAACATGTTGCGATCCTTAAAAAAAAAAAGATAATTTAAAAACAGGTGAAGAAGTTTTGAACTGACAACCTCAACTCTACCCAGCTGCTGTCTATTTCTTTTAATACTTTAAATCAGAACATAGTCAAATTTGAAGTAATACTATTTCCTATTCAACAGGCATTTGTTTAGAACAATTAACATGATTTCATGTGTTCAGTTTCTGGTGTTGATCTATTTTGTGTACAATAACACACGCCTAGTTAGTGAAGTTCTTGTTGGAAATCTGAAAAGCCTTTGGTATCTTTTACATGGTGAAGAGCTGGGGACTTGGTTAGGTGGGGATGCTGAAAAACTTGCCATGGTTGGAGGTGCATCTTGTTTGGCTGCTTCTGTGATGGAAAAGCTGTAAGTCTGCATGACTCATGTAATTTACAGTTGGTTTTGTATATATCAGTGTGAAAGACTGGAAGTGATCCTGAAAGAGTTATTGCTTTCTACCCTTAAATTAACCAATTTTATCAAAGCCAAGACTTCTACCACCAACTTTTCAACAGATTTTTCACTAGCAATTGAAACAGTCTACAGGCTTCCCAATAATGCAGAAGTGTTATTGGTTCCTCAAATAAATTTCCTTTAAGCAGCACTTTGCAATTTAAAAGGCTATTATCCTTTTTGTTTATTTATTTGTTTGTGATAAAAAGAAAAGTTCACCCTTGGAACAGTTTGATAATTTTATTTATGCATTGTGCTGGATAGCTTTAGTGTCAACTTGACACACCTAGGTTGAGACTGCCTCAATTGGGGAATTGCCTGCAGTGGACTGGCCTGTGGCCATGTCTGTGGGGCATCTTTTTGATTATTGAGTGATGTGGGAAGGCCCAGTCCACTGTGGGTGCTACCACCCCTGGGCAGGTGGGCCTGTGTTTCTTGAGAAAGCAAGCTGAGCAGGGGCCAAGGGAGCAAGCCAGTAAGCAGTGTTCTCCATGGCCTGTGCTCCAGCTCCAGGCTCCAGGTTCCTGCCCTGAGTTCCTACTTTGGGCTCCTCGATGAACTGTGACCCGGGAGATACTAGATAAAATAAACCCTTTCCTCCTCAAGTTGGTATTGGTCAGAGTGTTTTGTCACAGCAGTGGAGAAACAAACTAGGACATGCATGGCTTGTTTGAGAGATATTTTTAGATATTTTAATGAGGTAAAACCTTTGGTGCCAAGGTCAGCCTTGTAGATCAAGTTGAAAAAATGACAAATTTATTCAATCAAATTACCATGGCTATCTTTCAGTATGGGATGTGTTTTCACAGGCTGATTTCAGTGTGATACTATCTTGTAAATTCATCTGCTGGCAAAAATGTTCTGGCAATTGCACACATGGCAAAACACTTCTTAAGGTTCATTGTGCTTGGATGACCTACAAATTGTAAAGGAGTCTGTAATCCTTTCCTTGATGACACAGATAACTGATAGTTGCCAAAAATGAACTCAAACTTCAAAGAAAGGAAAAGAATGTACAGATTCATCTAAAAGAGTTGCACTAAATTGTGTTGTGTCTCCACATCATGCGGTTCCCATGGCAAAGAGAGCTTTGTTAGACATAAGCACAGTTGCTACCAGACCTACACCTCTGGCAGTCAAAGTTTTGAGGCATTTCTTGCCATAATGCAAGAAGTTTCAGATGTGCTAAACTGTGTTTTGGAGACCATGGCACAATTTGAACATTTCAAATATATAAATCATGTAAAATTTGTGTGGCTTTTACATTTTTACCATCCCTTCTTTAAAAAGAAAGTTAAATTTTTTTTTATTCAAAAAGACATATCTTTTTCCTTACCGAATTTTCAACTTCAGAGTAAGGAGCTTCATACACACATCACTTGTTTGTTGCTGCTTACTTTTACACTCAGGTTTTAGGAAAAAATGAGTTCACAGATTTTATGAGTTTATCTTTTTCCTCATAACTTCCCAAATTGCATTTATGTTGTAATTCTTTTTTGTTTTTTTTTTTTGCCTTTTTGAGACAGCCTCCCTGTAGCCCCAGCTGGCCTGGAATTCAGGAATTCTCTATATAGACCAAGCTGACCTTGAACTCACAAAGATCCACCTGCTTCTACCTCCCAAGTGTTGGGATTAAAGGCGTGAGCCAGCACACTTGGCTCTAATTGGATTTTTTTTTTTAGCAGATAATGTAGATGACTTTATTTAAGCTTATTTCCCACTGGAATAAATGGACACTAATACCTATCTACAGTATGCATGTCTGTACGCTCCTCTCCAAGTGTTCTGCAGTTGTCTGACGTGCACTTCTGTCAGCATCGGGGAGCTCATCATGCCCTTACCACAAGTGCTGCCAGCCCCTCAGACCATCCCTCAACCATTCACAATTCATACTGATTTTTAATAGACATATCATCATTCTAACAATGTGTATCTTAGTAATATAATATTCCTTTTTTGCTTGCATATCTTTAGAAAAATAATTTTCATGTCACCAAATGACCCTATAACTGTTGGTATGCGTAATCTCAGGCTAATCATTTAACTTTACTGTGTCTCATTACTGTTGTTTTCTCATTCATAATGTTTAAATTAATTATTTTGATTCAAAACATAATAGTTTATCTATAAACATATATATGTTGTCTTTTAGAGACAGGGTCTCCCTTCAGCCCCAGCTGGCCTGGAACTCTATGCAGAACAGGCTGGCCTTGAACTCAGAGATATGGAGATTTGCCTGCCTCTGCCTCCTTAATACTAGTATTAAAGTCATGTGCCACCACACCTGGCTGTGTGTGTGTATTTTTTTTTTTTTGTATTTGTGTGTGTGTATTTTTAAGCGTATAAAACAATAGATTTCACTATAGCTTTTCCAAACCTCCTTAGTGCTATTTATCCCTCCACCCTCCCTCTACTTTT